AGCCCGCGTTCGTGGTCAGGGCGGTGAGCGGTACTTTTTGCTGGTCGTCGACGACTACTCGCGTTACACCACGGTCTTCCCCTTGCGCACCAAGGGTGAGGTCCCTGCTGTTCTGATCCCTTGGATCCGCACAGTTCGTCTCCAGCTCCGCCGCCGTTTCCGGACGGATCTTCCTGTCCTGCGTCTGCACTCTGACAGAGGTGGTGAGTTTTCCTCCGACCTCTTGAGGACCTTCTGTCAGGCGGAGGGCATCGAGCAGACCTTCACGCTTCCGGACTCCCCACAGCAGAATGGGGTTGCTGAGCGCCGCATTGGCCTGGTCATGGAGGTCGCTCGTACCTCCTTGGTCCACGCGGCAGCTCCCCATTTTCTGTGGCCGTTTGCTGTCCGGTACGCCGCGCATCAGCTCAACCTCTGGCCCCGTGTCTCCTTGCCGGAGACCTCGCCCACACTGCGTTGGACGGGGGAGGTTGGCGATGCGTCGCGCTTCCGGGTGTGGGGTGCTCGTGCCCTTGTCCGCGATACGTCCGCGGACAAGCTCTCCTCCCGCACGCTTCCCTGTGTCTTCCTTGGCTTTGTCCCTGACGCGCCTGGCTGGCAGTTTTACCACCCCACCTCGCGCCGGGTCTTCGCCTCTCAGGACGTCACCTTTGACGAGTCGGTACCCTTTTACCGTCTCTTCCCCTACCGCACTGCCCCTCTCCCTCCCCCGCCGCTTTTCCTCGCTCCTGGTCCCCCTCCGGTAGACCCCCTTCCCCCTCAGGGTCCTGCTCCTTCAGGTGTCTCTCAGGTAGACCCTCCTCCCGTCGCTGAGCCTGTCGAGGTCACAGGTGACTCAGGTGCTGCTGCAGGTGGTGCTGCTGGGAGTGCTGAGCCTGGGGGTGCTGAGCCTGCGGGTGCTGGGCCTGGGAGTGCTGGGGCTGCGGGTGCTGGGACTGCGGGTGCTGGAGCTGAGGGTACTGTGCCTGAGAGTTCGGCGCCTGGGGGTGCTGAGCCTGGGGGTGCTGCGACTGGGGGTGCTGAGCCTGCGTGTACGGAGTCTGGGGGTGCTGAGCCTGGGGGTGCTGCGCCTGAGGGTACTGAGCCTGGGGGTGCTGCTACTGAGCCTACGGAGCCTGGGGTTGCTGCGTCTGGGGGTGCTCCGGTTCGGGGTGCTGAGCAGTCTCTCACACCGCAGCAGCTTCGTGACTGGTACGTCCGGCGCTTTCGCTGGCTCTGCTGGAGTTGGGGGTGCTGGAGCTGCTCGTCCTGGGGGTGCTCGTACTGGGGGTACTGGAGCTGCCGGGACTGGTTGTTCTGGGCGCACTGAGACTGGAGCTGCTGGAGCTGGGGACTCTGGAGCTGGCGGTGCTAGCGGAGTTGGAGCTGCCGGCTCTGGGGGTGCTCTCCCTAGCGGTACTGGAGCTGCTGGAGCTGACGCCCCTAGAGCTGACGGTTCTGGACACGGTGGTCCTGCTGGTTCTGGAGGTGCTGGCGAGGGGAGGTCTGACGCTGCTGGGGCCTCTGGTGCTGACGTCGCCGACTCGGGGGGTGCTGCGGCGGAGGGTGCTGGTCCTGGTGCTTCTGGTGCTGCGGGTGCTGGAGGTGCTGGCGGAGCTCCGCCGTCGCGCCTGTTCTTCGCTCCTCCGTCGCCGTCGGCTTTGCCGCCGCCTGACACGGTGCTTCGCCAGGTTCTTTCCCTCCCGTCTTCCACTGGCCTTCCCCTCCAGCCTGGCTCCCCCCTCCCTGCTCCTGTGCCTTACACTGCGCAGCCGGACTCGCTTACGGAGCGTCGTGAGCCTGCGTCTCGTCCTGCCTCGCCTGTTCGCGCTGCTCGCACTGCTCGCACTGGTCCCACTGGCCGTCGTGTCGCGCGTCCGCGTCCTCCTCCTGTTCCTGGCACGCACATTATGGCACTTCGTCCTTCCACTGGTCCACAGCGTGTCCCCCTACCGTCTCCTCCTGCGTCTTCTCTTCCTGACGTTCCCGACCCTGAGTCTGACAGTGTTCGTACTTCCCACCCTACTGTTACGCGTCTTCTCGCCACTGTTGTCACTGACCCGTCGTTTGAGTCTTCTGCTGCGTCTGCCCTGGTCGCTGAGCTTGTCGACTTTGCTGCTGCCTGTCGCCTAGACTACGCCACCAGTCTTGTTGCTGAGTCTGAGTCTGTCTGTCCTCCGTCCGTTGGGGGTGAGTGTGCTCTTGGCACGGACGTCCTTGAGGACAGGCGGGAGGACTTTGACTCTCTTGCGGCTGCTGTACCTCATCTCGTGGCCTGGTTGCTTGCCCCTGAGGGAGACCCGGATGCACTAGACATCCCCACTCCGCGCACTTACGCAGAGGCGATCTCGGGTCCCTACTCCTCTCAGTGGCAGACAGCCATGGACGCAGAGATGGCATCCTGGAAGTCTACAGGCACCTACGTCGACGAGGTTCCCCCTCCTGGGGCGAACATCGTCGATGGCATGTGGATTTTCAGGGTGAAGCGGCCGCCAGGTTCTCCACCTGTCTTCAAGGCTCGTTACGTTGCACGAGGCTTCAGTCAGCGTCAGGGGGTTGACTTCTTCCAGACCTTCTCCCCCACCCCGAAGATGACCACTCTTCGGGTTCTGCTGCACGTTGCTGCTCACCGTGACTACGAGCTTCACTCTCTTGACTTCAGCACAGCGTTCCTGCAGGGCAGCCTGCACGAGGAGATCTGGCTGCGCCGCCCACCTGGCTTTACTGGGTCGTTTCCTCCTGGTACCCAGTGGAGCCTCCGCCGGCCAGTCTACGGTCTCCGCCAGGCACCGCATGAGTGGCACGACACACTGAGGACTACACTTGCGGCTCTTGGGTTCGCGCCGTCTACTGCTGACCCGTCGCTGTTTCTGCGCACAGACACGTCGCTGCCGCCGTTCTACATTCTCGTGTACGTCGACGACCTGGTCTTTGCTACTGCTGACACTGAGGCACTCTCTCGTGTGAAGTCAGAGCTGCAGAAGAGACACACCTGCATTGACCTGGGTGAGCTACGTAGCTACCTTGGCTTGCAGATCACCCGGGACAGAGCACGCCGCACCATCACCCTGACTCAGTCACACATGGTGCAGCAGGTCCTTCAGCGCTTCGGCTTCCAGTTCTCCTCACCACAGGCCACACCTCTGGCTACCAGCCACTCGCTCTCAGCTCCACCTTCGGACGAGTCCGTAGAGCCGAGTGGCCCGTACCCAGAGCTTGTAGGCTGCCTCATGTACCTGATGACTTGCACGCAACCTGACCTCGCGTACCCTCTTAGCATCCTTGCTCGTTACGTTGCGCCTGGGAGACACAGGCGAGAGCACTGGGAGGCTGCTAAGAGGGTGCTGCGTTACTTGTGCAGTACATCAGGCATGGGGCTGGTGCTTGGAGGACGCGACAGAGTTGTCCTCACTGGTCACTCGGACGCTTCTTGGGTGGACGACTTGGCTACGCAGCGGTCGTCACAGGGTTACACCTTCAGCCTTGGCTCTGGTTCTGTCTCGTGGCGGTCCACCCGCTCTTCTTCTGTTCTCGGCTCTAGTTGTGAGGCTGAGATCTACGCCACGGCCATGGCTGCACAGGAGTTACGCTGGCTCACCTACCTGCTGACTGACTTGGGAGAGCGGCCTAGTTCTCCTCCAGTTCTGTACGGTGACAACAAGGCGGCCCTTGCCTTGTGTCAGGAGCACAGACTGGAGCACAGGACGAAGCACATTGCTCTTCGCTACTTTCTTGCTCGAGAGCTTCAGCAGCGCGGTCAGCTTCGGCTTGTGTACGTGGACTCGAAGGCCAACACTGCTGATATCTTCACCAAGGCGCTCCCGCCTAGTGATCATCAGCGGCACTGTACTTCTTTAGGCCTTGTGTCCACGTTTCCTCATTTGCTTACTGCTTGACTTTCTTTGTACTGTACTTTATATATGTCTTGCTGTTTGTCATGTTCTATATCTAGCACTGCATGTGAACTGGCCTTGTGGCCTTTGCTTGTGCTCGGAGTGTGGTGACGTTGTGATCCACCCTGGGCTTGCTTTGCTTTGCTGGACTGGTCTTGTGACCCTTTGTTCTCCCCCACTTTGCCTATGGGGGTGTGTTAAGTTGTAATGTGTTATTTATATGTGGGTAGGCTGTAGTGGGGTAGCCAATACAGGGTACAAACCCAACTAGGGTTAGCTACTTGTACCCAACTGTTCTTTCAATGCATCATTCTTGCCTAGTCCTGTTGATATTCTCCTGTCACTGGCGTGCGAGCAGCAGTTGCGGGGCAGGGGAGCGGCGCAGTAGGTGGGTCCAGGGGGGGCGGCGCGCGGGTCCCCAGGGGCGGCGCGCTGGTCCAGCAGGGGCGGCGCGCGGGTCCCGCGGGGCAGCGCGCGAGCCCCGCAGGGCGTCGCGCAGGTCCAGCGGGGGCGACGCGCGGGTCCCGCAGGGCGTCGCGCGGGTCCAGCGGGGCAGCGCGCGAGCCCCGCAGGGCGTCGCGCGTGTCGAGCGGGGGCGATGCGCGGGTCCCGCGGGGCAGCGCGCGGGTCATGCAGGGGAGGCGCGTGGGTCCCACGGGGCGGGGCGACGAGCAGAAAACAACGCCGCGCGCGCTCCGAGCGCGCGGCAAGCAGAAAACGCAGCGGAAGCATGGGCCCACAGGCCAGGATCTAACAAGCTCTGATAACATGTCAAATTAAGAAGCTACCTAGGCTAGGAGAAACCCTAGCCTAGGAGCTTAGGGAAGGTAGAAGAGGAGTAGCGAGAGGGAAGTGACACCAACAAAAGAGGTCCAATATTGTGAAGGAGATACAAGATATAGGAGATTGTAGTGGTGCACCACCTAGACAGAATGTAATAAGCTACACCAACTGTTCGCTACAGGCAGTTACTACAAACATATGTAAACATAATGTTTAAGAGAAGGTGGGCCGACAACCTGGCAGAGCTGCAAGAAAAGGCGTTCCCTTGAACTTGAGGCTGAAAGGGGTTAAAACATAGGGAGGCGAAAAACGAGGGGAAAAAATGAGTCTGACAAGGTGTCACTTTCAGATAGAACGACTGCAATAGGGAGAGATATCGCTACAACAGGATGGGAGGGAAGAGGAGGCAAACGTGAGCGCGATGGCGTAGGGAGGGAGGAATGTGAGCGCGATGACGTGGGGTGTGAGGAACGTGAGCGCGATGACGTGGGGAGGGAGGAACGAGAGCGCGATGGCGTGGGGAGTGAGGAACGAGAGCGCGATGGCGTGGGGAGGGAGGAACGTGAGCGCGATGGCGTGGGGAGTGAGGAACGAGAGCGCGATGGCGTGGGGAGGGAGGAACGAGAGCGCGATGGCGTGGGGAGGGAGGAACGTGAGCGCGATGGCGTGGGGAGTGAGGAACGAGAGCGTGATGGCGTGGGGAGGGAGGAACGAGAGCGCGATGGCGTGGGGAGGGAGGAATGTGAGCGCGATATTAAGGGGAGGGGAGGACGTGAGCGAACGGAGATGAAGTGGGCGATGGGATAGGAGGGGAGATTGCAAGGGCGACGAGATGGAGAGCGCGATGGCGACGGTAGCGAGAGTGCTAAGGCGACGGGAGGGAGAGCATTAAGGCGACGGAAGGGAGAGCGCTTAGGCGACGATAGGGAGAGCGCTTAGGAGATCGCTAAGGCGACGGTAGGGAGATCGCTACGGCGACGGTAGGGAGATTGCTAAGGCGATGGGAGGGAGAGCGCTAAGGCGACGGTAGGGAGAGCGCTACGGCGACGATAGGGAGAGTGCTACGGCGACGGGAGGGAGAGCGAAAGCCACGGGGAGGGGGAGAAAGAGAGGGCGACGGGGGGGGAAGAGAGATACACGCGAAGGTGATGGGAGTGGAGCGGACAGCAAACGAACGACTGAAGGGTAGTGGAAATGGCGAAGGCGCGATACAGGAAACTAGCACCCTGAGGAAGGGTAACAATCGCCTGTGGAAGGGAATAAATTTACGATACTACGCTGCGTAATAGTCTTACGCATTCCTGCAGGGGCAATAGTTACTTTCCTTGGCCACCAACACCTATTGCTGTCAACTAAAATATGCTATGAATAAAACTAGTGACTCGAGGATGGAGAGCAGCGTCATGAAACCCAGTTCCAACTTGAAGTAGGCGTTGGCCTGGCGATCGAAACCATCGCTTGGCAAGAGTCGTGCAGGTGTTGCACGAAACATGCGACGAAGGAGATCCGCAAGAAAAAAAAAATTGTCGGGAACATGAAGAATCACGATTGGCGACAGCTAATCATATTTGTTCAGAGTGCTACTCGATTTGTTTGGAACAGTGCTCTATTGGCCCGCTTTCGGCAGCACATTTCAAGATGGGACAGGGTTCATTATTTTATATTTCGGTTACGCAAGGCAAGATTAGTAATCTTGCACACTTCTCGTTTTTGGTGCTGCATATTGGCGAGAATCTGGTTACGGTAGCTGCGACCCAATCTGATTGGTCGAAGCCACTGTCAGAATGAAAACTACAGCGGAATGTGTTGCATTGACAGAATTGGGGTACATAACCTAACCCTAACTAGTTGTACCCCATATAGCCCAACCCACTACAGGCTATAATATTTGACACACCCCCATAGCCTAAGTGGGGAAGGCCAATCAACAACAAGCAACCTACGGTCACAAGACCAGTCAAAAGCAAGAGAAAGAAAACAAAGCTCAGGGTGGATCACAACGTCACCACCTAATCTGAGCACAAGCAAAGGGCCACAAGGCCAGTCCAAAAGTGTGCAAACAAATATATATAAGGTACAAGCAAGCAACAGACAAAGAGCACCCTACAGCAGTCAACTAGACCCAGTCTCAACGAGGCCTAACTGCAGACAAAACCGGCGGTGGTCACAAGGCTGGAGGGCCTTGGTGAAGATGTCTGCAGTGTTGGCCTCGGAGGCCACAAAGTCCAGACGAGCCTGTCCGCGTCTCTGCAACTCTCGAAGGAGGAAGTACCTGACGTCAATGTGCTTCACTCTGCTCTCCAGTCGCGGCTCACGACACAGGAGAATCATCGCCTTGTTGTCAGCAAACAAGGTCGGTGCAGAGCTCGGCCGCTCGCCAAGGTCAGTGAGCAAGAAGGTCAACCAGCGCAGCTCCTGTGCAGCAAGGGCTCCAGCGTAGATCTCGGCCTCTGCGGTAGAAGTCGCAACAGAGGAGGACCGAGTAGACCTCCACGAAACAGCTCCAGAACCCAGACTGAAACAGTAACCCTGTGTAGACCTCTGAGTCTCAGCGTCGTCAGCGTACGAGGAGTCACAGTGACCGGTGAGAACAACTGGCTGAGTCTTTCCAAGTACAAGCCCCATGTCTGACGTCGTGGCCAGGTACTTCGCCACCCTCTTAGCCGCCGTCCAGTGAACAGGACGGTGTCTCCCAGTCGCAACAAAGCGAGAAAGGATGCTAAGAGGGAAGGCGAGGTCCGGGCGAGTGCACGTCATCAGGTACATGAGGCAGCCCACCAGCTCTGCGTAGGGACCACTGGGCTCGAACGGCTCGTCAGGAAAAGGCCCAGTGAGTCTGTGGTCTACAGCAAGAGGAGTGGGTGTGGGAGAGGAGTGCTGAAGCCCGAACCGCTGAAGGACCTGCTGCACCATGTGTGACTGAGTCAGAGTGATGGTGCGAGCGGCTCTGTCCCTGGAGATCTGCAAGCCAAGGTAGCGGCGCAGTTCCCCAAGGTCAGTGCAGGTGTGTCTCTTCTGCAGTTCGGACTTCACCTCCGCCAGTGCAACAGTGTCGGCTGTGGCGAAGACCAAGTCGTCAACGTAGACCAGAACAAAGAAAGGTGTGCGCCCACGACGAACAAACAGCGACGGGTCGGCGGAGGACGGCTGAAAACCAAGGTCGGAAAGAGTAGAACGAAGAGTGTCGTGCCACTCGCGGGGTGCCTGGCGGAGACCGTAGACCGGTCGTCTGAGGCTCCACTGGGTCCCAGGCGGGAAGGTGCCAGTGAAGCCCGGAGGACGACGCAGCCAGATCTCCTCGTGTAGGCGGCCCTGCAGGAACGCTGTGGAGAAGTCGAGGGAGTGTAGCTCGTAGTCTCTCTGCGCCGCTACGTGAAGCAACACCCGAAGAGTGGTCATCTTCGGGGTGGGCGCAAAGGTCTGAAAGAAGTCAACCCCCTCGCGCTGACTAAACCCTCTAGCCACGTAACGTGCCTTGAAGACTGGGGGAGATCCCGGCGGCCGCTTCACCTTGAAGATCCACATGCCGTCGACTATGTTCGCCCCTGGTGGGGGAACGTCGTCAACGTAAGTGCCTGTGGACCTGTAGGAGGCCATCTCTGCGTCCATGGCAACTCTCCACTGAGAGGCCCAAGGCCCTGACACTGCCTCAGCGTAAGTGCGAGGAGTAGGTATGTCAGGAGCGTCGGGGTCACCCTCAGGAGCAAGGAGCATGGCACAGAGATGAGGCGAAGCGGCTGCTAGGAACTCTAGCTCAAACTGTCTGTCCTCTAGGACGTCACAGCCAAGGGCAGACACACCCCCGGCGGACAGAGGACGGACAGGAGGAGCGGCCACAACACGAGTGGCGTAGTCAAGGCGACGCGTGGCAGTAAAGTCAGTGACAGCGGCAGTGAGGACTGCGACAGAGGAAGGAGAGGCACGAGGGTCTGTAACAAGAGAGGCGAGAACGCGAGAGAGAGTGGGACGGTAAGTGCGGTAGTAGTCAGTGACAGGAGTGGACAGGACGGCAATGAGGGACGACTCCGGAGGACGAGGGAGAACAGACGGAGGAGAACGAGGAGGGCTAGGGTGAAACAAGGCGGCACGGAGGTCAGTGACGGGGGACGAGGGACGAGCACGAGGAGAACGAGGAGCCCAAGTGTGGGCAAGTGGAGAGGGAGAGGGGGGAGAGCGAGAACGAGGGAACACAGCCGGAGCTGAGTCCGGAGGAGGAAACGTAGGACCGAACACAGGAGGAGAGGAGGGGAGACCAAGGGCCCGAAGGCCAGAAACAGGGGCCGGAGACTGCTCCGGCTGCTGCTGCTGCTGCTGCGACGGCGGCGGCTGCTGCTGCTGCTGCTGCTCCCGCTGCAACTCCAACCTCTCACGCTCCACCCGCTGCTGAACCTCCAACCTCTCGCGCTCCAAACGCTGCTGCTCCTCACGCTCAAGACGAAGACGGGCCTGGTGTCGAGTCGGGTAGGAGTGAGGAGGAGGAGTGAGGTCAGGAGAGGAAGACGAAGAACCGGCTCCACCCTCGACAGCGCCCGGCTGAGCACCCCCAGAGCGAGTGCCCCCCGCTGCAGCACGACCAGCACCTGTGGAAGGCAAACCCGCACCCCCAGTCGTGGTGCGCCCAGTGGCACCAGCACCAGCCCCAGACTCTCCAGCTCCAGAAACACGACCAGCTCCAGCACCACCACCGACTCCAACACGCTCGGGACGTGCAGCTGCGGCAGGTGCACGCTCAGCTCCAACTCCAACACCCCCAGAACCGGCACCGCCAGAGCCCTCACCTCGAGCACCAACACCCTCAGAGTCCGCAGTGGCCGGGAGAGGAAGCGCCGACGGCTGCTGCGGAGGCTGTGAGGACGACTGTGGGGAAGGAGGAGAGACCTGGGGGGGTACCGAGGGAGGGGGGGTAGCCTGTGACACACCTGACGGAGCGGGAACCGGGGGGGGTACCGGAGGAGAGGGAGCGGGAGGAGGAGGAGCTGGGGCGAGGAAGAGGGGAGGGGGGGAACCGGGAGACCTCGACAGGGGTACCGGACGTAGTAGGGGACGGACTCGTGGAAACTAACGTCACGAGAGTCAAAGAACCGGTGGGAGGGAGGGTGGTAAAAGGTGAAGTCAGAGGAGGCCTCAGGGAAACCAAGGAAGACACAGGGGACGCCGCGAGGTGAGAGCTTGTCCGCAGAGGTGTCGCGGACAAGCGCCAAGCAGCCCCAGACACTAAACCTCGACGCAACACCAGGGGACCCTGTCCAAAGACTGGTCGGTGAAGCCCCTGGCCGAGAGACGCGAGGCCAGAGGTTCAGCTGGTGAGCGGCGTACCGAGCCGCGTAGGGCCACAGAAAATGGGGCGCGCGGGCGTGGATCATGGAGGTGCGGGCAATCTCCATGACCAGGCCTAGGCGGCGCTCAGCAACCCCATTCTGCTGTGGAGAGTCTGGAAGAGTCCAGGACTGGGTGATGCCCTGCTCAGCACAGAATCTGGCGAGAATGCCGGAGCGAAACTCACCCCCACGGTCGGAGTGGAGACAACTGACACGACGACGACGAGTACTCTCGGTGGCGAGCAGCCACCGGATCAGCGTAGAAGTCACGTCGGACTTCTTCGCCAAAGGGAACACGGTGGTGTACCGAGAGTAGTCGTCAACGACCACTAGAAAGAAGCTCTCTCGCTCAGGTCCAAGCCGGGAAGCGGGGCCCCAGACGTCTAAGTGGAGTGTCTCAAAGGGCTCGGAGGCTGGACGAAGGGAGGAGGAGTGAGGAGTGGCGCGCAGCCGACCCTGGACACAAGGACCGCACGGAGGAGCGGGGGACGGCGGGAGCGGCGGGAGGTCGCGGGGGAGGCCTAAGACAAGACGCTGACTGGACATAGCGCGGAGACGAGAGAGGGACGGGTGACCAAGGCGGTGGTGCCAGAGGAGGACAGGGTGGGACAGCGACCGACACGAGCACGACGCAACCACTAGACCTGGCACAGCAACCTGACTGGACCTGGCTACCTGGTGGGACGGGGGAACCGGACGGGTGTCGGTGTGGAGGGTGTACAGACCAGAGCCCGGCTCCTGACGAAAAGTGGCCAGAGGGGCGTACGTGTCACCGTCCACACAGACTGCAGTGTCACCAGAAGGCTCAAACCAGACCCCGACGTGCTGTCTCGCCAGAGGAGCCACACCAACCAGGTTCCTAGAGAAAGTAGGAACGTGGAGGCCGGTCAGAGAACCGGAAGGGGCAGCTGGGCACGGGAGGGTAGTGGCGTGAGTCGCAATGACCGGTCCCGAAGAGGGATCGGCCAGTGCTACAGAAACCGGCGCCGAGAGTGGAGTAAGAGTCGTGCTGTCGCGGAAGAAGCACTGCGTCGCTCCGGAGTCCAGTGTGAAGGAGAGCGACGCGTCCGCCGAGGGAGCACCTGTACTAGTAGCTAGACAGGATCCTACACCAGCACCTACTCTAGCAACAGGCAAAGATCCTACGCTAGGTACAGGCAAGTAAACAGATCCAGCAGCACTATAGTCAACATCAGCATACATCGCATAAGACCTAGCATCATCCATAGACATATCAAACACAGCAACACCACGAGCAAGGAGTGGTCCCCAGCGCGGTGGCGGGGGAGCGGAGGGGCCGTGGTGCAGGACGTACAGGTCGTCGAGACGGCTGAAGCAGCGTGCAGCAGAGTGGTCAGGGCGGCCGCAGTACGTGCCCCTGCGCGGACCCGTCAGGATCCAGTACTCACAGGGACCAACGTCGCGGCCGGCCGAGCGGGGTCCCCGACTAGAAGGGGCACCACTGCGCCCAGTGCTCGGGGGGCCCGTAGGTCTCCACTGCTGCGGGGGGCCCCACTGCTGCGAAGGGCCCCACTGCTGCTGAGTGCCCCACTGCTGCTGAGTGCCCCACTGCTGCTGAGTGCCCCACTGCTGGGGCTGCTGCTGAGGCGGACGCTGCTGCTGGCCCTGGCGCTGCTGCTGCTGTCCCTGCCGCTGCTGCTGTCCAGGCGGTGGCAGCTGCGGAGGAGTCTGCTGCTGCTGCTGCGGAAACCCCTCACCACCGTCTAGAGGAGAGCCGTCAGGTCCCGAGTCACCCCCGCCGCCACCCCCGCCACTAGTACTACCGCCACCGCCGCCACCCGCAACACCCCCAGAACCCCCGCCGCCCTTCCCTCCCTTCTTGCCGGACTTGCCACGTTTCTGTCCGCCAGAGACAGAAACGGCCGCCGTCTCCTCAGAGGCAGAAGACGCGGCAGTGGCAAGCGAGGCAGTGAAGGTGGGAAGCTGTGGTACCGCACACCCCTCAAAGAGACGAGGAGGAGGCGCGGAAGAGGCGGAGGCAACAGCGAGGAGGTTACTCTCGATCTTCGAGAGAGCGGTCTCAAGAAGATCGATAGTAAGCTCAGTGGGGTGCTTCAGGAGAAGCGCGTCGCGGGCTGTGGCTAGACGGTCAGGGAGGCGAGTGACTAACCAGTGAATAGTGAGCCACATGGGGGGGGGTGCAAGGGCAAGCTGTTCCTCAGTGCAAGCGGCCTTGAAGCGAGCTTCAAGGGAGCGCAGGTGGGTAGCGAGGTCAGCGACAGTCTCAAAGGAGGCGAGGTCAGGGTAGATAAAGGGGACGAGGAGGCGGCTGAGGGAGGCAGAGGAGGGAGTGGAGTAGCGAGCAACAATAGCAGTGTAAAGGTCTGCAGCAGACTCGACCTGAGTGAAGTTGACGACCTCAGTCGGCGGGAGAAGGTCGGTCAGGGCGAGGCAGGCAGCAGCGTCACGAGACTCCCACACGTCACGAGCGAGGAACCGGCGCTGGTACTCAGCCTCCTGCTCGGAAGTAGGCGGTGGGGTAGTGGGCAGCGGTGTAGGCTGCGGCGGGGCGGGCAGAGCACCGGACGCGTGCGCAAACAGGTGCACGCCATCCTGGCGCTGGCTCCTAAGGTGGCGCTGGGCCTGCGTCAGCCAGGTACTAAAGTCGATCGCGCGCCCCTCAGGGTCGAAACGGAGCACGCGAGACGTCGCCATGAGGGGCGAGAACAAGCGATAGCGGCCGCCAGCCGCGAGAGGAGGAGGAGAGGGAGGTGAGTGCGAGGCGGGTGCGCGCAGGCGGGGCGCGTTCTGGCTGGGCGCGGGGCGGCGGGGCGCGCGCTGGCGGGGCGCGCTCCGGCGCGGCTCGCTGGCTGGCGTGGCGCGCGGGCGCGGCGCGCTGGCGGGGCCCGCTGGCGCGGCGCGCTGGCGGGCGCGCTAGCGGGCGCGCTGGCGTGCGTGCTGGCGGGCGCGCTGGCGGGCTCGCTGGCGGGCGCGCTGGCGAGCTCGCTGGCGGGCGCGCTGGCAGGCGAGAAGGCGGGCTCGCTGGTGCGCCCGCTGGCGGGCGCGCTGGCGGGCTGGCGTGCAAGCGGGCTGGCTGGCGCGCTGGCTGGCTGGCGTGCGCGCTGGCTGGCAGGCGCGCTGGCTGGCTGGCGCGCTGGCGCGCTGGTTGGCTGACGCGCTGGCGGGCTGGCGCGCTGGCTGGCTGGCGCGCTGGCTGGCTGGCGCGCTGGCTGGCTGGCGCGCTGGCTGGCTGGCGCGCTGGCTGGCTGGCGCGCTGGCTGGCTGGCGTGCGCGCTGGCTGGCTGGCGGGCGCGCTGGCTAAGGGCGGGGAGGGGAGGGGCGCGCCGGCTGGGGCGTGGGGTAGGGCGCTGGCGGGCTGGCGGGGCGCAGTGGTAACCCTAGTGGTAGGGACGGGCGGGCCTAGGGCTAGGAGCGCTAACCTACTGCTGATACCATGTCAGAATGAGAACTACAGCGGAATGTGTTGCATTGACAGAATTGGGGTACATAACCTAACCCTAACTAGTTGTACCCCATATAGCCCAACCCACTACAGGCTATAATATTTGACAGCCACCCTGACTGCCAAAACATCCAGTTTCACTGCTCTACAATTTGGGACTCGAGGTCCCCAAAACCACGCTCTCCCCTGAAACTTGCTGACTCAGCGAAAAGACAAGAGTTGCGGCGAAATCAGTCTTGTCAACAACCCCACCCCGCAACACCCAAACTTGCGCATGATTACTAATCTTGCGCAATTTGGGCCTTGAGCTTTAAATCCTCCAGTTTAGCTCAGTGCCCATGACATCACATCACAGAACACATTTCCTATATAAATACACTTTTGCATTCGTAAACTGTCAGGTAATCTTCATTCCAACCTGTCAGGTTTCACTTTCTTTGTTTTATGCTTTCTAATGATTGTGAAAGGCGCTTTGACATTATTTTGCCTTTTTCTTTTGATACAATAAACATTCACGAACGGATCAGGGGGAAAGCTTGTAGCGTGAACGCATGTGTGTCGCGCCTCCGCCCCACAGAGAGACTCTTGCTGACACAAACCTCAAGTCACCTGAGGACGAACGACTCTGCACCTATCTGGGGCTATCGCGTGCCAATCAGGACAATATGGATCACGGTGGTGTAGGAGTTCGCGAACCATTCAAAACCGTCGACCGTCAACTCTCGCGACAACACCAGCTTTTCCCTACTGCAGGCGTGTGGGTGAGTATCCACAGGACCGTCCATGCTTCGCCATAGAGTTCCACGTGAAGGCGAGCCGGGATGAGGCATATGAGCGACTCGGTTCATGCTACTCGGCTCTCAAATTCATTTCTTCGCACCACCCCCACATTTCTGCTCAACTCGCGCGAAGCTCAACACTCGTCATTCCTCGAGTGTTTTTGCAGAGCCTATTGATACTAGAGATCCACAAGAGAAAAATCTTCTAGGATCACCTTATAAGTCTCTACTGGCCATAGAAGCTGTAGTGCTGAGCGTCGCTTTCACAAAACTCAAGCTTCTCCCGTTTCATCCTCTTTACCTGCATCCCTGTCAGCATTACTGTCGACTTTATCATGTCCCCCTCGGTGTTACAACAGGCGCCTCGTCTGGCGATTTTGATCCTGCTCTCCACATCCATCGCACACGCGTTAGTCTGCCCGAAGTTCCAATGCGGCGAGGGATTATTTACGCTAGGAAAATTCATCGATCCAAACACGCCCTCCGATTTATTTCTCGAGCCAAGTGACCCTCTCGTGGAGGCGTATTTCTTTCCCGGGCAGATGTACAACTACAATCAGTACAACATTTTCGACGAAATGCTTAGCGATCCGCAAACAGATTGTTACAGGTTCTGCGCTGGTTACAACTCGAAGCTTCCGGCAGACGCACCTGCGGACGTGAAGGCTAAGTACTGGATGTTCGAGGAGACGTGCAACGACGGGAATGGAGGTACGACTGGTTGTTCGATGACATGCCATCGTGCTGGCCTGATTACGCGTCGCGCTGCTGGTTGCCTTTCTCAGTGATATTTTGCGGCGCGTCGCCGAAGACTAACAGCACGAGCCGCATAGTCTTACGTCCGCTGCACTCCTTTTACTCGCTACTACTGTTTTAGAACCGGTCTCTCTCCTCATGAAAATCCCTCCTTCCGGCGCCTATGTGTCAGGAATTTGCGCGTGCTACAACGCGAACAGGTGCAAAGACGAGACGAGCTATACAGACGACTGGATGCAGCCGAGCCGCGGCGACGTGGCGACGAATGATTACGAGGTGCCGGCCAACTTCACCGTCGGCGCGCTGTGCCTCGCCGTCGAGAAGGGCGACCCTCACTTCACGGGCGCCGACGGGTCGCACTTCGACTTCTCCGGTAAGGGACGGTTCAAAAGACTGCCTCTTGATATACTACGGCCCTTTTTCACTCACACGTTGTTCTTCGTGTTGCCTCAGCAGCCTCTTTCTTCTTGTGATTCGCGTAATCGCAGTCTATTTCCGAGTTGGTGGCAAGTTACCATTACCATGCTCTTCCGTTCTGCGCTCAAAATCTCTCCTTGCTCTGTAAACTTGCTTTATCCCACTTTACCCGCGCGCTCTCCTCATGTTAACCCCGCGTATTCCCCCTCTTCCCACCACCTCCCCTCCCCTCCCACACCCACCCCTCCCCCCCCCCCCTCTCTTGCTCCCTCTAGGTCTCCCCAACCACCATTTCGCGCTCATCTCCGACGCGCACTTCCAGGTCAACGGCTACTTCGGCGGTCGATTCGACAAGTGGGGCAACACCACCAAGGCGCTGACGTGGATCCGCTCCCTCGGGATCATGTTCGGCCATCACACCGCCGTGCTTCACGCCCGAAACGGCTCCTCAGCCGACTACGGAAACGGCTACCTGGGCCGCGTGACGGTCAACGACCGGCCGGTTAGGGTACCGGCGCCGGGGACGAGCGTTAATCTCTGGCCGGGCGCGTCGCTGCGGTGGGTCGAGGCGCGGCTTCGGAGCGGGGACGACCTTGTCGACGTGTACGACCTGCTTATAACGGATATGGGCACGCTGCGGCTGACGCTGCGACCCGAGGTGAAGAACCTGCGAACGGGCGACGACGGCGTGGTGCACTTCGGTATCGACGTTCTAGGCACCACGTTCTCAACGGCTGTGCACGGCGTGTTGGGTCAGACGTTCCGCCCCGACTTCCACGGACGACTGTACGTTTTGGGGGCGTGTGGGTGCAAGCCAAATGGTAGTATGGGTGTGCGTGTGAGCTTGTGCCGTGCTTGCTTGATATTTTGCGATGCTTGTGCACTTTCCTGAGCGATATCCCCATTCCCCCTACCTACAGCGCGAACCAGGAGCTCAAGAACAATCCGCTGCTGCGCGCCAACGCCTCATTCCACCCCGTCCCCCCGTCTCCCGCTCCCCTCATCCCCCCCCCTTCCCCCTACAGCGCGAACCAGGAGCTCAAGTACAACCCGCTGCTGCGCGCCAATGCCGTGCCGGGCGACAACGCGGAGGGCTTTATTGACGGCAGCGTGGAGGACTATCTCGTGTCGGACCTCCTTAAAGCGGACTGCCGCTTCTGCCGCTTCTCGCGCTCCCCCGAGGTTGACTCAGAGCTCGCGCACGCACTCTCGCTCCTGCGCGTGAAGCTGCCCAGGAAGTTCTTCCCCCAGCCGTGGTTCGGGCGGAAAGGGAAGGGCAAGGGGAAGAGTAAGGGGAAGAAGGCGGGGAGCAAGCGGAGTGGCGGGAGGAAGGGCGGACTGAAGAACTGGTTGAGGAAGAAGGCGTCAGGTGTGGGGAGCGGTGCAGAGGGGGGGAAGAGGGGCAGTGTGAAGAGTAAAATTGCGAGGCTTTTCGGGAGGAGAACGGAGTCGTTGTGACGTGTGGAACGTACAGAACGCACGAGGCTGCTGACGGGTCTAGTCTAGAGAGACTGCAGATTGGGGGAGGTATTTTACGGTACTTGCGGCGAGAGTGGTGGGTGAGCCTGAGTGAGACTGGGTGGGACCTGAACTGATCCGTCGCCGACAATCATTCCCTCTCATCTGTAACAGATCCTCAAAGTCTGGATGAAGCTGGGCAAGTGTTTGGGGAGGAGACCAAGAAGGGGAAGCCACGTGGCCACCAGATCCTCTTTCTCGTACTCCTGCAAGGGTGTTTTTCGGCACCATTTCTGGCAGGGCGGAGTAGATGAGATAGAATAAGGTTATGCGGATTAATCAGAATAAAGAGGCGCTAGAAGTGCAGGTTCTGTCCAGCATGCGTTCAGCATGCCCCGAGGGATTGGGCAAGGGTGCTTAGTAACCCAAGGCTGATGTCCACTCTCTAATAAGGATGTACAACCTTGCATTCGTTGTGCTTGATTAACACTTGTTTGTTTTGGCTGTATTATTCTGGTTGTTTCATGACTTCACGTGATGCTTCCTGATGTGTGTAACCATTTTCAATGTTCGCACCACTGGTGTACATGTACAGTGGACCATGACAACAGAGCCCCTAGCACGAGTGAAGTACTTCAATCTCTCGGAACTAGTTCAACAACAGAGTGGTGGAATGTTATCTCCACCAAAGCAGCCCACACATTGGCAGAACCAGCAAGACGAGTGTGTGTATACCGGCAGTATGGATGCCATGCCATGCAGGCAAAGGTAAACAAGAAACAAGTGGACGGTGACAGCTGCAAACTCATGTACGCAGATAGATCATACCTACTTCTCCCTATCCTGTTTACGAAAGGTACGTCCAGTCCCGAAGCTCGTACGCTCGTGCGGGACACGTTGCCATGATATCGAGGACCCTGTTCAATCGTATGATGCTTTCTGTTTTTCCCTCAAGGGGGATTCTTAGTGTAACCCCCAGCCAGCCTCACAGGTGCCTCTTGGCCAAAGCCCTGACTCGAGCATCAAAGACCGTTGATATGATCTTGGAGCCGGGTACATGAAGTGGGTTCATGAGCACCTGGGGAGGAGCAGAGGAAGCAGGGTGGGAGTGAGAGGGAGAGAGAATGAGTGCGTGAGAGTGTGCGTGGATCAGAATACCCTGTCAGGTATGTATTGGGGGCGGGTGGGCACATGGAGTGGGTTCAGCAACACATGCAATGTGAGCTCACCTTGATGTGCAGCTCACCTTGATGTGCAGCTCGTGAACTTCCTGGAAGAAGTTCTTATCTTGAGGCGCCTCAAAAATAAGCGGGCACAGGGAATGGACTCATTAGCGCGTGCAACGTGAACTCACCTTGATGTACAGCTCGTGCACTTCCTGGAAGAAGTTTTTGATGCCGTCCTCGTTGCGCGAGTCATGCAGCAGCAGCAGCTTCGTCTGTGCGCGGTTGAAACGGCACGGTTGAAATGGTGCGGACGCGGACATGAAAGCGGCAGCCACGGTGTCGAAATGATTCAGAAGCGCGGAAGTAGACACAGCCGAGGAGGAGGTGCCAAGCGGGTCGGGTTAGGCGATTTCACGATTGAGATGGAAACGGGAGATAGCAAGTGGTTAAGGAAAATCACAGAGCGGAAGAGGCGGTGTGAAAAGTTAGACAGAAAATGAGTGATGTGGAACAACGGAAAATTGGAGGCGATGTGTGTTGGGAGCATTAATTTGTTCACTGATAGGACAGACATGGGAAGAGGGAGAGCAGAAGGAAAGAGAGGAACAGGGTGGAAGGCAGGAAGAAAGGGCACGTGCGTGCCCATGATTGTGCGTGTGAGTGCATGCTTTGACACGAGGAGGCGTCATGTGGGGGAGGGGGCGTTGGAGGAGGGGGTGCGTGAAGGCGGCGTGAGAGGATATGACCAGCGGTGACGTAGACAGAGACGAGCAGGTCGTTGAACTTGTCCACTGCCTTCAGATGCCTGGTGGTGCATGGTGGTGCACGCAAAGGGAGAAAAAACAAACAAACAGACTAATCAAGCCATTCTATGGGTCTGAAGTGAGTATGATGTGTGCATGGTTGAGTGTGAGAGACTGTGGGAGGAAAGGGAAAATGCGTCTTGAGACAACTTTATGTGAGTCCTCTTTGAACAATAGACTCGGGTTAAGGGAGGAGAAGGGGTTCAGGTGAATAGGGGGATTAATAAAAGTGGTGCATTGGGACATGCAAAGCACGTTGGGAGGACATGCATGGAGTGTTTGGAGAATTGACAGGAGGGCAGGAGGAAAAGAGGAGGGGAGGGGAAAATGTGGACCATGCGACAAGAGAGAGGGAGAAACGGGAAATACTTAAAGAGCAACCAGAGAAAGAATCAACAGTGCAAAGATAAAGGTAACGACAGTGAAGCTTTGAGACGTCCCAACAATTGAATAAAGCTGCCACTCAATCTCCTCCCATCTTTTCCCCATCCCCCCTCCCCCACCTCCCATCTCCCCAACAACCCCCCCTCATTTCTCCCTCCCCAACTGCCCCCCATCTCCACTCCGTCCACCCGCATCCCCCCCCCTCCGCGTGCCCCCAGCGCACACACATGTTGTTGGTGGCCCACACGGCGTCCTGCACGATGTCCATGGCGCCGTGCAGGATGAACTGATGCAGATGCGCCGCCTCGTCGCGCTGCCAGGGAAGGGAAGGGGTGAGAAGGGGTGGGGTCGAAGTGGCGTGGGGAAGTAGGGAAGATGGGGGAAAATGGGTAGGTGGGGAAGGTGGGGACGGAGGGGAAGTGTGGAAAAGGTTGGTAAAAGAGGAAAAAGAGGGGGGAGGTGGGAAGGGCGGAGGGGAGAGAATCGACGACCCCGGGGGATGAAGGGTCATGAGAGTAGGGAAAGGATGAGGCTTTCTAACGCAGATGCTCGGAAGTATTTTGGATCACGAGTCGCATTAAAACGAGGACGGGGAGTAAACAGGCGTGAGCAGTAATCATGAGGAGACGGAGAAAGTATTGAGAAGAACGGGAGAGGGGAGGAGGAGGAGGAGGTGGAGGAGGAGGAGGAGGAGGAGGAAGGAGGAGGAGGAGGAGGAGGAGGAGGAGGAGGAGGAGGAGGAGGAGGAGGAGGGGGAGGAGGAGGAGGGGGAGGAGGAGGAGGAGGAGGAGGAGGAGGAGGAGGAGGAGGAGGAGGAGGAGGAGGAGGAGGGAGGAGGAGGAGGAGGAGGAGGACGAGGAGGAGGACGAGGAGGAGGAGGAGGAGGAGGAGGAGGAGGAGGAGGAGGAGGAGGAGGAGGAGGAGGAGGAGGAGGAGGAGGAGGAGGAGGAGGAGGAGGAGGAGGAGGAGGAGGAGGAGGAGGAGGAGGAGGAGGAGGAGGAATGGAGAAGGTACAGTACCCGAGGAGCCGTGCCAAGCTCGGCATCGTAAAGCGGGCAGTCGTTGCGACCCACTATAACGAAGCACAACGTCGACGACATCCCCCGCTACTGTCACCCCGCACAATGATGACGATATTCGTCGACCCGCAGATTCGATCGGGTTCCAGCCCAGAATGTGTCGTCGCTAGAAGCAGATTCGGTATTCGGTAGACTCGTTATCAATACCAGGTCCGTTACAAAGACCGGCTATTCCTAGCACTCAGCGAGCGATATAGCCATGCTAAGCACATGGGCTTCCTAATTAGCCAGACTAAGACGCGCGCGCCCCTCCTGCCGCGACGTTCTCCCGCGCATCGAAATACCTAAACGACAGGCTTTAACTCACTATCGGGCCTCACCTTGACACAGATTTTACGACGCAACTATTAGTGTGCCTCTGAGATACTAACTACCGGTATTCGTAATGAAGCCCTATGAGAGGCGGGTGGTAGCCAATAGGAAGGAGGACGACGGATCGCGTGACGTGGACTGATCTCCTGAGTCCTGACCTGCACCGGATTCACTCGCCGGGATACCCGTCGTCTCAGTCTAGCGAATTTGATCGTTATGTGGGAATGCGCAGCGGCGAATGCGGGGATACTTTATCGAGAACTACAAAGATCACTAAACCGTTACGCGCTACTTGTCACCCTGGGAATGCGCTGTATATTTCGTTACAAACCTTGGTAAAATGGAACATTGAAATCAAAGTTGTATTTTTAGAGACCACCAACATCAGTATCAAAATCAATCCAAAAGAAAACACCACCCTCTACAAAATTACAAGCTAAACATACAATCAAAATATGACAACCATCCAGAAAGCAATTTTCTAACTACGGTAACCACCCCCCTCTCCTCTCCTCCCTCCCTCCAAAAAATAACACCCGGCACTATTTCTTGGCGTATGCGACGAGCATGGGGTGCGTGGGCGTAATCTTGAACCCCTGCAGCCCCCGCAGGGCCACACTGGCCTGCACTTCATCTATAAACTCCACAAAGGCGATTCCAGGCTTGGCATCCACCATCCGCACCTCTCTGAACCCAGCAAACTGCTGGAACAGCATCTGCAGCATGGCCGGGGTGGTTTCCACCGGCAGGTTCTGCACGAACAGTACGCTGTTGGGCGGCGCGGGCGGCTCATTTGCCCCTGGGATTGCCCCAGCCTGGAGAGGGTAGTGTGAGTGCAGTGAGGGGAGTGGAGTGAGGGGAGGGGAGTGCAGAGAGGGGAGAGACAGGAGTGGAGTGAGGGGAGGGGAGTGAGGGGAGTGGAGTGACGGGAGGGGAGTGAGGGAAGGGGAGTGAGGGGAGTGGAGTAACGGGAGGGGAGAGACAGGAGTGGAGTGAGGAGGAGTGGGATAACATTGGAAGGGGGGTATTGGAAAGACGATTGGGGGACAGAACAGAGTGGATGTGAACCGTGACACAGGGATGGAGTGGGGGTGGGAGAATGGGGGTTACCATGCAAGAGGCGAGCTAAGGCACGATAAGGGCTGTAAGGAAGGGCGTTGTGGTCAGGTGCCCACAACAACCGATCCATTCTTGCGAGGTACACTTCCTGCTCTTGCCATCCTTGCTCTTGCCCTCTACTTGAACTCTCCAAACCCTCTCCTTGCCCCTTCTCCTTGCCCTTGCCCTTTCCCTTTCCCTTGCTCTTTCCTTTGCCCTTTCCCTTGCACTCACCCTCGTCCATGCCCATGCCCTTCCCCATCCCCATGCCCATGCCCATGCCCATGCCCATGCCCATGCCCATGCCCTTGCCCATGCCCCTGCCCCTGCCCTGCCCCTGCCCTTGCCCACTCTCCTTGCCCTGCCCTGCCCCTGCCCTTGCCCACTCTCCTTGCCCTTTCCCAAGCTCTTGCCCTTGCTGCTCTACCCTCTCCACGCACCTGGGCATAGGCTGCAGCAGTGGCAGGGGCGCGGCCGCCGCCTGCTGCCCCTGCTGCTGCATGCTCCTGCTGCTGGCGACGCCGGGCTGATTGGGAAGAGAGGGGTGGTCAGGAGAACGGAGGAACGGGGGAAAGGAGGAGGGGAGGGAAGGGGGGAAGGGAGGAGGGGACAGAAGAGGGGAAGGGAGGACGGGAGGGAAGAGGGGAAGGGAGGAGGGAAGGGAAGAGGGGAACGGAGGAGGGGAGCGAAAGGGGGAAGCGAGGGAAGAGGGGATGTGAGCACAGGGGAAAGAAGCGGAGGAGTGAGAGAGAGAATTGGGATGAAGCAAGAGGGATGGCTGAACGAGAAAGCATAACTGCTCGAGGCCTTCAATAACGCGATGCCAAGGCGAAGAATTAAAGATTAGAAAAAGGGGAATCAATGGGAATGGGGGGGTCGGAGGGGATGGGAGGGCTGGAGGGAACGAGCAAGCCAGAGAGAGTTGGTGGGGGCGAGAGCAGTGGACGGGGGAAGGAGAGTGCAGCAATGCGGGTGGTAGAAGGGAAAGAGAGTGGGACCCGATGTGAAGCATACACAAGCACAGCAGGCAGTGTGCTGCAGCAGTGTGGTGCAGCAGTGTGGTGCAGCAGTGTGGTGCAGCAGTGTGGTGCAGCAGTGTGCGTACCTCGTTCCTCGTGGCGCTTGCGCTTCTCTCTGGGCACGAACGTGCCATCTGACTTGGCAACCACGTCCGACTTGGTCTTTGCATACGAGATCCTCTGCACGTCACACAAAGGGGGGGGGGGGGGGGGGGGGGGGGGGCACAAGGAAGAATGCGTGGGGGGGATGGGGAAGGTAGGGGGTGAAGTGAAGGTATGCGCCAGCTGAAGGGTTGACATGGTGAATGAGGGCGAGGGCTGCAAAATCACCATTGGAAAATGCGTGATGCACAACAACACGCACAACCCTCCCACCGCGCACAACCGTGCACGCACCATGGGCTTGTCACACCACATACACCCCCGCCCCCCCCATACACCCCCCCACACATACAACCCCTCCCCACATACAATCCCCCCACCATATACACCCCCCTCGACGCACCATTGGCTTGTCATAGAAGGGGAAGCCCTGCATCTGGCGCAGCGCGTTGGTGGCGGCCGTGACATCCTCGAACACCACCCACGCCTGCCCGCGCAGGCGCAGCGTCTTGAGCGCGACAATGTCCAGGATCTTGCCGAACTGCGAGAACACCGCGTAGAGAGACTTCTTCAGCTCTGCGCGGAAGAGAGGGGGAAGAGAGAGGGTGGAAGATGGCGAGGAGGAGGGAGGAAAGGGGGGGGAAGAGGGGGGGGGGGAGAGGGGGGGGGAGAGGGGGGGGGAGAGGGGGGGGGAGACGGGGGGCGGGACGGGTGGGGGGGAATTGGAGCGTTAAGGAGGAGGGGGACGGGAAACGAAGGGACGCGTGGGGGCGTTAGGGGATATCGGGGGGCAGGTAGGCGGAAGAGGGAAAGGGCGGAAGCCACTGTGGGGACAAAAGAGCAGCGAGATCTAGGGGAAAACAAAAAACACAAATGTTACGCTGGACGAAGTATTAACGAAATGGCGCCTGCACAAACTGAAAAAGCGAATTCAAATTCGCTGCCCCACCGGCGTCCAGCACACACGGCGCTTCACATCCTGCTACGCAGCTGCTTGCGCATCATGCTTTTAGTCTAAGCCAGCCTAATCCGCCACCCTAGGCGGCAGCGCTGCGGACGGCAGGCGGAAGGTTGCAAATAACGCACCTTATAATAAGAATTCCCCATTCGATCACTAAACACGTTGTTTCAACCCAACCTGCCGATTTCGCAACCGACTCAATCGCACCTTCCTTCTTAATCTTCTCATTGAGGTTGTTCAGGTAGATGGTCTGATTCGGAGGAACGTCCGCCCCTTGCAACATCGTCGCCGCCGGTTCTTATTCGGCGCACCTCTTTCCTCCTCTCGGATCCGCTCCCTGACCCCTCTGTTGCGCTAGGAGACCACTGCGTGACAAACCGCGCGCGACTCTCGTTGCGCCAATTTGCTTTTCTTCCTTGTGTCCCCCTCGAACACCACCAGTTCCGCCTCTCCAAATTACCCCGCGTCTAGCCTGCGCCTAATCCGCGCTTGATCGGATTTCGTAAAAACAAAAAAACACTCGCTTGATCTTCTCAGCAGTGGCGTCAGAAAAAACGGTTGCCAGACGCGTGAGAAACTAACACTAGGTGTCCCGACGGACAGGCCGACTAGCTTGAAAATGGCGAACGATCGAACGCAGCTACACTGGCAAGAGCACGTGCTGAGTGGCAGGCAAGCGCATCACGCGTCAAGCGCAGAAGCAGTAGCGTTGGAAGAGAATCAATTCAAAACCCTCATGCACGAGAGGGGACACAAGCAGATCCTCTGCAGTGTTATTTCACAACATTATTCCGAACAGCGATATGATAGTAACGAGCACGTGGCGAGCCAAAGTTCGCATGCGATAGCTTAATGGTAACTATTTGAAAGTTTTGTCATCGTTTCACAAGTGCGTGGCGTCAAGGAACAAGAACAAACAGGTTTGATAATTCACAAATTAATCAATCAAGATCACCTTACCGTAAAAGGTTTGATATCTAGCGCTCAGTAGGTCTCATAATTATGCAACCAGCTAATTCAAGCCAGCTCCCTGTTATGCTCCAACTGGAGTTTGCAGGCATCAGTCCAGCACTTCATGCCGAAATCAGAGGTGCTCGTACAAGGTCAATGGACAACTCACTTCTCCGAGACTCACTTCCCTCCATAACCCTGCCAACAGCAGTAAACAGCAAGAAAGCAGCAAAACAAACATAAACAAGTGCAGACAAACACACATTGACCCAAGGAGGAAACCAAGACAAACACAGGATGCACAATGCAGGCATTACAATCGTCCAACTCACCCGCCCTCGCATCATCCCCCGACCGCCCACGTTGCCTCCGTAGCCGAATTTCGGCTTCTTCTCGGCAGGCTTGAGGATCTGGAAGGAGCACATGAGGCTCTCGTCCACACTCATCATGGCCCCCGCATTGTCAAACTCGCCACAGTAATTAGGCGCTGAGAAGACGGTCACAAGTTGGCGCTTGGCAAAGAACTCGTAGCCATCCTCCACGACCTGCAGTGGGGGTTGGGGGCACAACGGAAGGCCATTCACCATGTGAGGACATACCATGTGAGGATCACACCAAGTGAGGATATACCACGTGAAGAAGATGAGTGAGGACGACGGTGAAACATTAAATCTAAATCCAACTATGAAAGGTAACGGTTTCCTGCCTCTGCTCGTGCCTGCACTCGCCTCTCGATACACACCCTGTGCCCTTCCTTAACTCGCGACCACGCTCCATGCCCCCATCCCCCAAAGCCCCCATAACCCCATGGCGCATGCCCTCATGACCACGCCCCCATGCCCATTTCTGTGTCCTTTCCCAAACGCCCCTACCTACCTGGTGGGCTCGGCACACCAAGTCAAGGTCGTGCTTGTCCAGGAACTCTGTAACCGCGTCGGGACCAAACGTGTAGGACACGCCACGGTCGTTGTCCCCCCACCCCTGGATATCCTTGTCGGGATCTGCCCACAGAAGATCGCACAGCAGCCCCGCGTCCGGAACGTCTGTGGGCCGTCCGATCTTCTTGATCTGCTCGAGTGAGCGCAGCTCCGGGGAGAGGCCGCCGTGCATGCAGAGGATCTTCTCGTCTATAAGCGCCGCCACGGGCAGGCAGTTGAAACACTCCGTGAACGTCTTCCACAGCCGGATGTTGTACCTGAAAGGACGTACGTACGTACGTGAGTGGAAGAAACGGATGAAAGGGCGAACCGATGAGAAAACAAGCGAGCGTCACGCAACGGCGCATGGAAGATGGTAATCGAGCGAGAGAACGAGAGAAAGGAAAAGCGGGACGCAAGAAGAAGGCCGAGCCAAGGGAAAGGGGATATAAGAACACCAGGAGACGCACGGCAACAGATACATAAACGCCTGAAACCGCGGCGGCAGAGGACAGCGATATAGAGCGCACAAACACCACAAGACGTGCGCAAACAGAGAGATGCCGCAAGAGAAGACGCAACGTAACCACTGCGCGGGGAGGTGACATCACAAACGCGATTGCCAGCCATCGCCAACGATTGTTTGCAATTTTCCACGCGCACGCAGAAGACGCACCTTCGCTTGCACTCGTCGTAGAAGCCATAGATGCGATTGATGGACGCGCACTCGTGGTTCCCCCGCAAGAGGAAAAAGTTCTCCGGGTACTTAATCTTGTACGCGAGCAGCAAGCAGATGGTTTCCAGGCTTTGCTTCCCGCGATCCACGTAGTCGCCCATAAAGAGGTAGTTGGCCTCGGGAGGAAAGCCGCCATACTCGAACAGGCGCAGTAAGTCCGAGTATTGTCCGTGTATGTCGCCTGCAAGAGCGAAAAACGGATCGTGTGGATAGACGGTTTGAGAATGGAGCTGTAACGGCGGTGGCGGTGGCGGCGGTTGTGGCGGCGGCGGGGGTGATGAAACGGCCCCGTACGAATCATGGACGATTATGACAGGGAACAGATGAAGATGAGGTAGCTTGAGGGTGAGAACGATAGGCTGCAATTGAAAGGAATGCGAAACACTAAAAGAAAGCTGTGACTAACGACGATACAAGGGAGAGGACGAACGGGGGAGGCAGGAGGAGGGGAGGGGGGGAAGAGGGAAGAGGGAGAAAGAGAGGGGCGGCAGAAGAAGAAGAAGTGGGAAAATGGGAGGAGAATGTTGACGCGGATGGAAGAAAACTCATCTAAATAGATTAAGAGACACGGAGTTCACATGGTCAAGGCTTAGAACGAAGGAGGATATTGGGAACCGTAACGAGGAGGAATGAAAAAGACGAGGGGGGGTGTGTATGTGCTGTATAAGTGTGTGCACGTGAGTGAAGGAGAAAGAGAGAGTGAAGGAAAAAGGGAAGTGGACGGGTGAGGAGAAAAGAAAGGGGGGAGAAGGGCTGGGGGGTGGGTGGGAGTAAGCGCGGGGATAAATGATGAAGCGAGGCGAAGAAACGTAGGCCGAACAAAGGTTTTTTGAAGAAACAAGAGTAAGGACGAAAAGCTTGCACTGATGAAGGTTAGCTTGAAACCCACCACAGATCTTGATCGGAGCCTCCAGTTCCAAAAGGTTCGGCTGCTGCAAAAATATATCCCGAGACGTGGTGCAGAGACTTCGAATCTCCGCTTCTGTCAGCTGAACTTGCTTCCCTGGCCTACCGTTTCTGACATCTAGTAGTCTGGCGATTATATCGTCCAATGTCGCGTCATCCATGGCTTGCTAAAGTCAAGATTTTTATGTAATAGTTATTCTGCGGTGACAAAACCACGGCTCCTCTGTTTCAGGAATTAAGATCTGTCGAATATGTGTGCAGAAACAGGTTTTGCAGATCTGAAAAAAGCAGCTGAAGAAAAAAAAATTCCTTGAAGCAGAAAAAAAGGCCTGTTCTGACCTGCCAAGTAACCCCAAATGCCTACCACACGGCGGAAGAAGCAAGCTTACCCAATCCTACGCCCGATTCTCACTGACTGCTGCACCTACGCGATACCTCACCGCTTTAGTTGCAAGTTCTGTTCCTAATAACAGTCCAGTGTGATTGACTTGTACGAGGGTTGGGGGAGATGGGAAGAGGGGAGGGTGCGGAGTGGATGGGATGGGATGGGTGGGAAGGAATGGCGGGTTTAGCTCAGAAAGCTGACAGGTCAGAGGGAGGGGAGAGGCTGCGGGAGAGAGAGAGGAGGGAGATTCGTATTGGTGGGTGAGGTGAGAGGAAGAGAGAGATAGGGATAGAGGTGGGGGAGAAAGGCGAACGAGAAATACATTCATGAGTGGGAGGGTTCAGGTTGGTTCGGGATGGGGCAGTTTTCCCGAAGGTCGGTTGAGGGGATAAAATGAGTGGTTCAGTACAATTACTTGTAATTTGACATGGTATAGATAGCTCACCCTCTCACACGAATATCACCAGACCTCGGTTTGCTTGGTAGTCTCTGGCAGCTCCACACCTGCCGACGTAATCACTACAAGCCCCTCGGCTGCTCCGGACTCTGTCGTTTCCTACCAAGTATACGAGGTTGGTTTGAAATCTGGTTCATGAGTGGCTAGAAGCGGATGGATGGGTGACTGGTGGGAACTACGCGATATGTGGACACGTGATTGGATAAAAGAGAAATCCTGTAACAAATTGTAATATCAGTGGGTAAACAGGTGCTATATTTGCAAACCATGCATATGTCGGTCCTAACAATTCGTAGGGTAAGCAAAATAAAATACGCTACCTACATAATGTCTGGGTCAGAATTGTGATAGCTTTAATGGAGTTCTGCATACCCCGTAAGATTTTGAACCGTTGTCGACAAGTCTGGGGCTGAGATTAAAGGATGGCAACATTGCATAACAAATTGGTTATTAGAACCTTCAGCAATGCGTACTTCATCAAGCAGCAAGACAACCTTTCAGAGTTCTGGGGCAACTTTTCAAGTTCCTAAGGAACTTGAACCCATTCCCCATAACCATCATATCAGTATGCTGATTTAGACACTAGAGCAAAGCAGAGAGTATGAGATTTGGTGGTTTGTTTGCCCTACCTGTGGGCCAGTTTCAAAGTGGCATCTCCCTGTAAACCTACACTTCAGGTGAGCTCACAGCCTCGCTGCTTCCCGTTGACTGCGCATGGACCTTGTTACAGCAAGGTGATACATAAAATATATGTTTTTATAGTTTATATTATAGAATTCTCGAAAACATCAAGAGAACATGAAATACCATTGAATGTGTCGAGGCATGGTTTTCAGAACCCCAAGGCGGACGCGACTCCCGCATAGATTTTGCGCAGAACGAAATCTCGCGACCCCGCCCAAACCTTCGCGGTTTGTTTGAGCGTTGTTGATCTGGCGGGAAGCAAAAGCAGCAAATTTTGCGCGTTGTGCCTGACCACATTGGGGCTGTCCCCCAAGCCTTGACACGATACCTCCCATCCCCTACAGAATTCCCACACCTTGAAATCCCAAATCAGCCTACAGAGGAGTGCCTAGAAGCTCTGTGCGAGGTATTTGCGAGGAGCAGCAGGCAGGCCTCCGCCGACGGCGCTGCCCATCATGTTCATGGCGATGGACATCTCGTCGTCCACGGCATGGGCGCGCATGAAGCGGCACATCTTGCAGTCCGCCTTGAGCAGGTCCGTCACCTCGTAGTCGTCCATGCTTCCATCGATAAAGCCCTCCGCGTTGTCGCCCGGCACCACCATCACCTGCAGCAGTTGGCTCCACTGCAGCCTCTGGTGAGCCCTGGAAAACACAACCGGAGATAAAAACGTTAGAGGGTGGGGCCTGCAGCAACCAAGCACACGGAAAAACAAGCTAACGAAAAAAAAAAATAAAATCAGCCGCGTAGGCGGCAGTTCGACGTACAGGCGGCCCTGGAAGTTGGGACGGAACGTCTGGCCGAGCACGCCGTGCACGGCCTGGGAGAAAGAGGAGAAGAGCACGTCGAGGCCGAAGTGAACGGCGGCGTCCGTGGGCGTGCGAAGGTTCTTGACCTCGGGCCTGAGCGTGAGGCGGATGGTGGCGACGCCGTCGATCTTCACGTCGTACACGTCCACAAGGTCCGTGCCGCTCAGCTTGAGCGCAGCCTCCCACTTGAGCGTCGCGCCGTCCCACAGCTGCACCGTCGTGCCGGGCACAGTCAGCTCCACCGCCACGCCGTCAGCCACCACGCGCGCCAGGTACCCGTTGCCGTACTCCGCTTCCGCGCCGCGCCGCGCCTCCAGAACCACCGTGTGGTGTCCCGCCATGAGCCCCACCGACCGGATCCACGTCAGCGCCTTCACGTCGCCGTTCCACCGGCTGTAGCGCCCGGCGAAGAAGCCGTTCATCTGGAAGTGCGGGTCCGACACCAGCGCGTAGTTGCGGTTCGGCTTCCCGCTGAATCGAAGTGCGACCCGTCGGCGCCCGTGAAATGCGGGTCGCCCTTGTCCCTGCCGTCGCACAGCATGCCCACCGTGAAGTTGGCCGGCACCTCGTAGTGGTCCGTGAACTGGAATCGGGCCTCCTCCATCCACTTGCTGCTGTAGCTCTTGTCGTCCTTGCACTGAAACTTGTTGTAGCACGTGCAGATGCCTCCATTTCCGTCCAGACACGTCTCTTCAAACATCCAGTACTTGGCCTTCTTCAGCGGGTCCTCGCAGCCCGGCTTCTTCTTGTAATCTACGCACACCTTGTAACAGTCTAACTGGGGGGTGAGGATCAACGGGTCGTTAACGTCTATTTTCTCGTAATTGTACATTTGGCCCGTAGTGAAGTACGCTTCAACCAGAGGATCCGTCGGCTCGTTGAGCGGGTCTGTGGGGTCGGTGAACTTGCCATACAGGAAATTTCCCGGCCCGCACACGAACTTCGGGCAAACCTCTGCAAGGGCTGCGGAAGCGCAAAGTGTCAGACAGATGAAAACCGTGGTTGATGGTTGCTTTGCCTTTTGAATTCTTTCAGCTTGTCGTTAGCCCTAGGTGGTTCTGTGAACTGGTAAACAATCCGTGAGTCTCTTATAGATTTTGTGGATGCTGGGGCCCGGGAGACTGTGAGTCTCTGCTGCGAGGTTCATAAAGAACCTGCGGTTCGCGTTGGGCTTGGTTGTCATCTTTGGAGCTAACGTCCAGCTGGGTTCCAGCGCGCAGAGACTTGACGAGTCGTAGCTCAAGCAGTCACCTCATTTGCGTGTTGTGTCAGCATGGTCAGACTTGCCGCGCACAATACAAAGGTAGCAGATCCGAATGGGTCTGCCTTGGCATCGTCAGGGCAAGAAGTCAAGGGCTCTGCACAACGTTATTTTTTAGGGTGGACTTCCTTTTTTTTTTTTCCAGCGTTAATTTAGGCATCTGCTATCTATAGGTTGTGGTGTTTCCGACTCGACCCACTGAAGGCCCCTGTCCATGTTTGATGCTGTAGCTGGATGAGTGTATTCTGCACTCGGCCATCAGAATATTAGAAGTCCATTGTTCGGAAAGTTTCTCGAATATACGGGCGTCCATTGTGTCTCTCTCGTAGTTAGCCACAATCGCGGGGCGCACTATATTTCCCAGAGATTGATGAAGTCCATCCTTTCTTGAAAAGTCCATGGGAAGCAATTTGAGAGCTCAAGGAAACTGATAAAGCTGAGTCAGCAACTTTGCAGCGCAGCGAAGAGGCGATGAGGCAGGTCCCGTCAAGGTTGCTAATATAATAGCACAAACGACAATCTGCCACTTGACATCAAGTACAGTTAGGGCGGAGTCAGGTTGTACAGCAATCTTTACCATTCAAAATTGGTTGCGAATGTAACCTATTTTCGGGTGTGTTTTGGACGCGATCTGTCAGAATAACAGATTGGAATGACTGAACTAACAAGGAAGGCAGTACAAATAGTAAACCCTAGAGATCTGTACCCCATATGGTCTAACCCACTGTAGCCTAACAACAACCAACACATATAATGTTTGACACACCCCCATAGGCAAAGTGGGGGAGACCTAGGGGTCACAAGACCAGTCAAGGCAAAGCAGGGCAAACAAGCTCAGGGTGGATCTCGAGGATTCCACACAAATTCCGAGCACAAGCTAGTGGTCACAAGACCAGTTCACATGCAGGTTTATAACAGAGCAAGAGATACAGTGATCACAACCTAGCAAGAGTAAACATGCAGGTACATATATATATAGTGATCACAGTACAAGCAAAGTCAAGAGGTAAGCAAGTGAGGTCCAGTAGGCACAAGGCCTAGTAGAGTGCAGAAGCGCTGATGGTCACGAGGCTGAAGCGCCTTGGTGAACACATCAGCAGTGTTGGCCTCAGTGGCCACGTAGCGAATACAAAGCTGACCGCGCTGCTGCAGCTCACGAGCAAGGAAATACCTCAGGGCGATGTGCTTCGTTCTGTGCTCCAGTCTGTGCTCCTCACACAAGGCAATGGCAGCCTTGTTGTCGACGTACAGTACTGGAGGAGAACGAGGCCGCTCTCCGAGGTCGGTCAGCAGGTAGGTCAGCCAGCGTAGCTCCTGGGCAGCCATGGCTGTAGCGTAGATCTCAGCCTCGCAACTGGAGCCGAGAACAGAAGAAGAGCGTGTAGAGCGCCAAGAAACTGAGCCAGAGCCAAGGCTGAAGGTGTAACCCTGAGACGACCGCTGAGTGGCCTGGTCCACTGCCCAAGAAGCGTCTGAGTGCCCTGTGAGAACAACTCGGTCTCGCCCTCCAAGCACAAGCCCCATGCCCGACGTACTGCACAAGTAGCGCAACACCCTCTTAGCGGCATCCATGTGCTCCTTCCTGTGACGGCCAGGAGCGACATAGCGTGCAAGGATGCTAAGAGGGTATGCAAGGTCAGGTCGAGTGCAGGTCATCAGGTACATGAGACAGCCCACAAGCTCTGGATACGGGCCACTCGGCTCTACGGACTCATCCGAAGGCAGAGCTGAGAGCGAGTGACCGGTAGGCAGAGGAGTGGACTGAGGCGAGGAGTACGTGAAGCGGAAGCGCTGGAGAACCTGCTGCACCATGTGTGACTGAGTCAGGGTGATGGTGCGCCGTGCTCTGTCCCGGGTGATCCGCAAGCCAAGATAGCTTGTCAGCTCACCCAGGTCTGTGCACGTGTGTCTCCTCTGCAGCTCCGACTTCACGTAGGCGAGTCCTGCAGTGTCAGCAGTGGCAAAGACCAAGTCGTCGACGTACACGAGGATGTAGAACGGCGGCAGCGAAGTGTCGGTGCGCAGGAACAGCGACGGGTCAGCTGTAGAAGGCGCGAACCCAAGAGCCGCAAGTGTAGTCCTCAGTGTGTCGTGCCACTCACGCGGAGCCTGGCGGAGACCGTAGACCGGCCGCTGAAGCCTCCACTGGGTACCAGGAGGAAACGACCCAGTGAAGCCAGGTGGGCGGCGCAGCCAGATCTCCTCGTGCAGGCTGCCCTGCAAGAAAGCAGTGCTGAAGTCAAGTGAGTGAAGCTCGTAGTCGCGCTGAGCGGCTATGTGCAGCAGCACCCGAAGAGTGGTCATCTTCGGGGTGGGGGAGAAGGTCTGGAAGAAGTCAACTCCCTCTCGCTGACTGAAGCCTCGAGCCACGTAACGCGCCTTGAAGACAGGCGGAGAACCCGGCGGCCGCTTCACCCTGAAAATCCACATGCCACTGACGATGTTCGCCCCAGGAGGGGGAACCTCGTCGACGTAGGTGCGTGTGGACTTCCAGGAAGCCATCTCGGCGTCCATGGCTGTCTGCCACTGAGAGGAGTAGGGACCCGCCATCGCCTCAGCGTAAGTGCGCGGGGTCGGGATGTCTGGTGCATCCGGGTCTCCCTCAGGGGCAACTAGCAAGGACACGAGACGGGGCAAAGCAGCAGCAAGACACTGGAACTCCTCCTGTCTGTCCTCAAGGACGTCCGTGCCAAGAGCACACTCACCCCCGACGGACGGAGGACAGACAGACTCAGACTAAGACTCAGCAACAAGGCTAGCAGCGTAGTCTAGACGACAGGCAGCAGCAAAGTCGACCAACTCAGCGACCAGAGCAGACGCAGTCGAGGACTCAAAGGTAGGGTCAGTGACAACAGTAGCGAGGAGACGCGTGACAGTAGGGTGCTCAGCACGGTACCGGTCAGACTCAGGGTCCGGAACGTGAGGCAAAGAGGACGCAGGAGGAGACGGTAGAGGGACACGCTGAGGAGCAGTAGAGGGACGTAGAGTCATGTAGTGAGTGCCTGGGACAGGAGGAGGACGCTCACGACGGACACGACTACCAGTGCGAGCAGAACGAACAGGCGACGCAGGACGAGACTCAGGCTCACGACGCTCTGTAAGACCTCCTGTGGGACCAGTGTAAGGAGAGGGAGCAGGGAGAGGCGAGGTAGGCGGTAACTGTGACTGCGGCTGGACAGGCGGAGGACACTCTACGGAGGGAGGAGGACAAGGAGGAGGAGCCTGCCCAAGAACCTGCTGAAGGAGCGGTACGAAGTACGGTCGCGGCCGCGCAGCGTCTCCAGAAGCAGAGGAGACTCCAGCGGCCGGGTCCACAGCACCAGTAGCAGCTCCACCGGCCGGGTCCTCAGCACCAGTAGTAGCTCCAACGCACGGGTCCTCAGCAGCAGCAGGAGCGCCACCGCTCGGGTCCTCAGCTCCAGCAGCAGCTCCACCGTCCGAGTCCTCAGTACCAGCAGCAGCTCCACCGTCCGGGTCCTCAGCACCAGCAGCAGCGCCACCGCCCGGGTCCTCAGCTCCAGCAGCAGCTCCAACGTCCGAGTCCTCAGCACCAGCAGTAGCTCCACCAGGCGGGTCCGCAGCACCAGCAGCAGCTCCCACGTCCGGGTCCTCAGCACCAGCAGCAGCGCCACCCCCAGGGTCCGCAGCACCAGGAGCACCACTTCGAAGACTGCAGCGCCGTGTGTACCACTCGCGGATCTGCTGAATGGGGGGGAGCTCCTGGGTAGGAGGGGAAGTACCGGGACGAGCTCCAGCAGCACCTCTCCGGAGGCGGCAGTACTCGAGGTACCTCTCCTGCAGCTGCTGGGAGGAGAGGGCTCCTCCAGGTGTAGCACGCTCAGGCTCAGCACCCCCAGACGCAGCACCCCCAGACCCAGCACCCCCAGGCTCAGCACCTCCAGGCTCCGCACCTCCAGGCTCCGCACCTCCTGGCTCAGCACCCCCAGGCTCCGCACCCCCAGACTCAGCACCCCCAGGCTCAGCACCCCCAGACGCAGCACCCCCAGGCTCAGCACCCCTAGCAGGACGAGAGTCAACAGCTACCTCGACAGGCTCACCCGGGTCTACCTGGGACACACCTGAGGGAGCGGCACCCTGAGGGGGGAGGGGGTCTGGTACCTCAGCACCTGGAGCGAGGAAGAGAGGCGGGGGGGGGAGTGGGGCAGTGCGGTAGGGGAAGAGGCGGTAGTAGGGGACGGACTCGTCAAAAGTGACGTCCTGAGAGGCCAGGACACGCCGCGAGGTGGGGTGGTAGAACTGCCAACCAGGGGCGTCCGGGACAAAGCCAAGGAAGACGCAGGGGACAGCGCGACGGGAGAGCTTGTCCGCGGACGTGTCGCGGACAAAAGCTCGGGATCCCCAGACCCGAAAACGCGACGCATCGCCAGCCTCTCCCGTCCAACGCAGTGTCGGAGAAGTCTCGGGCAAGGAGACACGGGGCCAGAGGTTGAGCTGATGCGCAGCGTATCGGACTGCAAACGGCCACAGAAAGTGGGGGGCAGCCGCATGAACCAAGGAGGTACGAGCGACCTCCATGACCAAGCCAATGCGGCGCTCAGCAACCCCATTCT